GTATATCGGTACCATAGTAGAACAGGCAAGTATCATCAGCGTATAATGTAACATCTGCAGCTAATTTTAAGTCTTTTAAGCTATTTATATAGATCAAAAATAGAAGAGGCCCCAGTATGGAACCTTGAGGAACCCCATAAGTTATGAGTTGTGGAGTACTTTTAGTCTCACCTATCTTCACTACCTGAAATCTATTAGAAAGATAGGATTCTAACATTCTATATGCGGATTCTTTAATTCCAATAGCAGCTAGTTTTTGGAGGAGTAGTTTATGGCTAATTGTATCAAATGCCTTTTTTAGATCTATAAATATACCAAGAGCTATTTGTTTTTGGTCTATTTTACATTTGAGGTTAGTTATAAGGTCTATACAAGTTGATCGTGTATTAGATTTACTTCTAAAGCCATATTGTTTATGATAAAGAATGTTGTTGGCACTTAAATATTGATCAAGTCGGTTGTAAATAATTTTTTCAAAAATTTTGGAAATGACAGGTAGTACAGAAATAGGACGATAATTACTCGGGTCTATTCTACTTCCGGATTTAAATATTGGACTGACTTTGGCTATCTTAAGACTATCAGGGAAATGACCCGATATAAGACAGTCATTTATAGAGATTACTAATTTTTCGATTACAAGGTTCTTAATGCATTTAAGAGTTTTACAAGAAATTCCATCGAGACCAGTTGTTGTATTTGAATTTAAGTTGTCTATAATTTTGCTAACTTCATTTATATTTATAGGAGTAAATATTGTGAGTTCAAGTGACTTTGATTCGTAGTCTTTATCATATAGTTTTTTGTATGTTGAGTTATTATGGTATTGCGGTTGGATTTTGTTAGCCAAGATGTTTCCTATGTTAGCAAAGAAAGAATTAAAACAGTTACATATATCAGGTAATTCAGTAAAATTTTCGTCATTATGCTGCAGTTTTGCTGGAGCAACACTGTTTTTTACTTTATTAGTGCTTAAGGACTTTATTAGTTGCCACATTTTATTTGGTTTTTTGGTACAGTTTTTGAAGGCTTTGTAATAATAATTACTTTTGGCAACTTGTATTTTTTCTTTTACTTCTTTTCTAGCCTGTAGTAATTCCGTGTTGTAGTTTTCATTTTTTTCGTGATCTATCACAAACCGAGCATGTAGTAATCGATTTCTTTTCTCTATTGCTTCGATGATATTTTTGTTAATCCAATCAGACTTCGGTGGATTTAATATTTTTTCATTCTGAATTTTACTCTTATTTATGACTTCTATTAGTTTTTCTTCGAGTTGTTTGTATTGAATATCAGTTTCCTGTAATAATAAGCCCTGTTCAAGAATTCCATACAGCTTGTCGTAGTCCATAGCAATATATGTGATCTTCTTCTTTTTTTCAGGGATAAATTTGTGAATCTCTAAGTAAATATGCTTATGGTCCGACATAGCTGAGCTAACAATAGCCATATGGAATGTATTATTCTTAAGGTTGGAGCTGACATGATCAAGAATAGTTTTTGTCTCCGAAGTTTCTCTTGTACAGTAGAGGTTCAACTTTATTAAGTATGCGGAAGCCGTTTTCTTTTAGGGTAGCCTTATAGTCAGTGGTGGCTTGATCTTTTTTGAGTAGATTGTAGTTAAAGTCCCCGAAGATTATCGCTCGTTTGCGATTATTGAGTTGGTAGGATAGTGTTTCAAGAAAAAGCTCTTTATTTGTTCTATCTGGTTTATAAATGACACCGATGTCCAAGCAAAATTTTTCAATGTGAATCCATAGGAAGTGGTTGTTATCTTCATGAAGGTCTTCGATAAAATTATGTTGCAAGCTGGTATGCACATAGATAGATACGCCTCCTCCTCTCGTGTTATTTCGGTAATTAAAGTGGTGAGTATAGTTTAACAGAGATAGACTGAAAGCTTCAGAGTCACTTTTTATCCATGTTTCAGTGAGTACTATTAGGTGGAGTGTGTGTGGTATGGATTGTATTATACATCTCAACTCGTCTAATTTGCCTGGAGTTACCAAACTTCGTACGTTAGCATAGAGGCATTTAAGGGATTTAGTATTTTTTACAACATTAGAATGATGAGCTGATAGTTGATATGTGACCCCATTTGTGGAATTACAGTTTTCATTACAAGCTGCAGTTGTTAGTTTTTTGACGAGCATGTTGTGATTTTGGGGATTCCTTTAATATATTTTATGACCAGATTTGCTTCACCTTTATCAGTTCTTTCTTTTAATTCAGCACGCAGTTTTAACATATTTTCCTTCTGGGAAAGAGTTTGGTCAGAATAGCATTTGATGAACGATAAGTCTTTACTTATATTATTTTTATTACGTAGTATAGATTTCGCTATATCTGAGGACTCAAAACAAACTTTTATGGGACGTGAGCTTTCATTACTGTATTTTCCCAAACGAAAGCATTTAATTGGTTCAGGACAGTTTGCATTTGCTAATTTATCAAATTTGAGAACTTCTGTTTTGTCGTGTTCATTTCTCTCTGTTCTAACCTTCGATGTTATCTCAGGTATCCCAATAATAATAATATTTTTCTCCCTTTGTAAGCGTTCGTTAATTTCAGATATCATAGCTTCATTGGTAAAGCTGGTCGATTGCGTACCATCATAGGAGGTATTGGATTTAACACTACATAATTCAGATCTAAGCTTATCGATATTTTTTTCTAAGTTGATCTTTGATATCTCCATTTTAGTTAGTTCTTCCTTAACTCTGTTTTGTTCCACAATTAGTTGGTCTGTAGTCGTTTTCATCTGAGCAATTTGGTTTGTTATAATTGATACTTGATCAGATATTGATTCCAATTTATCAGTTTGAGTTTGTGCCATGTTGGCCAATATTGACAAAATTCTGCTCTCGAACCTATCAAATTTCTCTGAAAGGTCATCTTCTGGTGTTTTTCTTTTTCGAAAAGTCAGTTTAGTCATATCTGAGTCCGACTCAACCAGCTGCCTGAGGTCTGGTTGTGATTGCGTTTCGGAGCGAACCGCTATCAACTCATTGCTATCAGCATACGAGATTGACCGCTTGCTTGGTGATCGTTGTACTGCCATTTCTATTGGTTGTCTTAACAATCTAGCAAATTATACTTAGCTGCTATTCGCCGTGAGCAATGGTGAGGAAGCGAGATGATATATTTATCCTCGGAGTTTGTACGTTTTCCTCAGGGGGTGAAGCACGGGCCGCGTGGTATTGAGCACAATGTGTTGCACTATTGAAGTGACATATGACGCGCACAATTTTCATTCAAGAATATGTTTTAAGTGATTTGATTATAAGACTGAATTTACAGTGATAGTTTATTTATATTTTTGATAAAATTCAGCGACACGTCTACTCCGTACGCTCGTTTTAGAGCTAATATTGTCTGTAAAACCATAATTGTAGAATTTTATAAGCTACCACAATTATCTTTGATATTGTAACGTGTTAAAAACATCAAAAGATATTTGTTTGTTTGAAGAGAGAGATGATGGGCTCTTTTTAGGTTGTCTCACTCATTTCTTTAACTATAGAACATTTTCGCAGAAAAGGAGGAACTTAAAAAAAAGGAAGAAAATTTTAACATCACTTCACAACATTTTTTTTACATTGAACATAAAAAAATTATAATCTTGTTCAAAATTGACATAATCCTTATCATTATCTAAAATTATATTGGTAATTTACACATAGATTTTGTTGTATGCCTATAAATATATTGGTAATTTACACATAGATTTTGTTTGACCAGGAGACATAAGTTTGCCGTAGAGGTTGTTGCTGGAGATGGAGGCTGTTGTTTAATTTTTTTAAAATGGTGAGAACTTTCAATTTTATTTTTGTTTAATATATTTTCTTTTGTTTTGAACCATGTGCTAATTATTACTATTATTATTATATAAGATGATACATAAGTTATGTAATATAAGTTAAGTGCTAATTATTACTATTATTATTATATAAGATGATACAGATAATTGGACATAGCTTCTAAATTCAAGAAAAAATCTTTGGCAAATAGTTATCAATTTCAATAGGTATATAGACAACCCAAAGTGAGTTTGGTTTTTGCTTTAACCCCCCTTGCGATTAATAGTTCAGTGCCCTTCAGGCGAGAGTCTGACGTCCAAGTACTTTTTTTTAATTTTATTTCTACCATTAAAACAATTTTTGTCTTAACCTATGTTTTTTTGTTTGATAATATCTCATGTGCCTTTCAGTACAGCATATCTTATTATTTTAAGTCAACAATATTTTAAATAATTTGTGGTGATAATACATTTCTGAACTTGACTGTACCTACTTAATGTAGTAACATGTCAAAATAGCGATGCGCGACTACGAATGATTTTACCTTTCGACTAATTCGCAACTACTAATTTGGTTATTCGAAAGGCAAATTAGTAGTATACTAATGTCACTATTCGAATAAGGACTACTAATTAGTAATACTAATGTCAAATTTATAAGAGCGCAACAATTAAGGTTATTCATTCGTTCGTTCATCATTTGCCTTAGTTCAGTTAGTATCCGTATGTTCGTGCATGGCATCTGCTACGATAGTCTTGTATCTATAATTAATTTTTTTTTTTCAGTGAAAATTATATTCATCGTTGAATTTGTTTATTATTACTTGATTCATATACATTTTTAAAATTAAAGAGTTCATTTAACGATCTAATCATTAAAAAACGATTGAAAGTAGTACCCTGTTAACTCTGCTTGTCTCTTTCACTCGTCGAGTTCGCCCGACCAAGCCCGAGTCGACCCGGTTTGTTCGTCTTCGTCACGTACCTACGTCAGTCGAGTGTCGGTTAGTCGGCGCCCGATACCTTCGACTCCAGTCGAATGATATAAAAAGCGCAGTCGACTTGATCGAATGATTCGTGGAGTCGAATGATTAGTATTAGTATTATTCGAAGTCGCGCATCGCTATGTCAAAATACCTAATGCTACAATACTTAATAAAATGTTACACATATTCGAATTTATAAAATTTATCTAACTTACCTCTTTGGGGCCATCTCTGTAGATCTTGTATAATCGTGGAGTAAGCATGCATTGAAAAGCTAACCTCATAATTATTATAAATCAATTACACAGATCAATGACTAATCAAAATTCAATGTGTTTATTCACGAAATAACGTGAACACTTTTTCAGCTTCCTGAATCTCAATGGTATTGAGTGAGGAAGTTAGGAAGTGACGCTAATTAAGTTCACAATATTTGAACAGTATTAAATCCTCTATGCTGACATTCGTGATTTAGTTACTTAAAAGAAAAAAAAACTAATTTTCTAGTTAATTTTCTAAAAATAAATTAATTCACCAATATTTACACTTGCATCAAACACAGATTACACAGTTTTCTTAGTAATCTGTGCTCTTTGGTCATCGTTATTGTTTTTTACCATTCTCTTTTTTCAGGGAAGGGAAAGGGAACAATGCCCATACAGCCGAGTCTTGTTTTATTAATCTTCTTTTTTTTACATTAGAATGTCAGTGTGACGCATTCTCTTTGCCAAGAAATGTATCGAATTAGCTTTTTCCAAGAAGCTTATATACAACACTGGAGATTGCATGTAGAACTTCTGTATGATGATGAGTTCATTAACCCCATGATATGTTTTTTATCTCTCTCACACACTCTCTGAAATTACCATGTTAAATACAAAAAATTCCAATCAGAAAGTGAAAATAAACAGAACTATGCAAGATATCAATCAGTTTTTCAATCTCCAGAAGTCCTACTCTTGTATTACTATTATAAGATGAGTGTGACAAATTCTAACCAACTACTTTGAAATCAATATTTAAAACTAAATAATAAATTCGCCCTTTATTTCCCTGTTTGCTGGTTGCTACCATTTTGGTATAATAGCAACACTAATTAAAAAATCAACTGAAGAATATCTCCGATCTGTCAAAAAAAATCTACTGCTTCGAATGTTTAGATAATTGTTCAATTTGCTATTTATAATATGTATTGTGTTGTGCCAGATTGCAGAAGTGTTTGGGAACCAAATTCCAGCACTAAAGGACATTGTTCAGCGTCCATACATAGTTAGCCTAAGAACCAACAATCATGAAATATTATTTTCTAGGTTCAAAATCGTAAGTAAATGACTGTAAAAACAAAGATTATTGACGGACACTTTCAGAGAACTTAAATTATTAGGAAAACTAAAACTTTTTTGAGGTTATGTTTAATATTCAATGAAACATAGGTATAAATAAACATATAACCTATGAATTTAGTATGAACTCAGTATGAAGTGAATTAATTAATATTACAACTAATTCATTTTATTCGGTGCGATTTTAAAGAATAACTATTATGAAAAACTTGGTTTGGTAGAAATCATGAATAAAACAAAAACTGTAGTTTTGCTTCTTATATATTGACTATTTTTCACATAATTGTATCATATTGTTTATTGTATTTATTTGTATATCACATGTATATTGTGTAAATATGCAGCGTGAATGTGTATCAGGTGTTCTTGAATAATTTAGCAGTATGATCCTCTCAGGATGTTGTAGCACAGGTTCACTAGCACTTGGTAATAAGGGCTCTGCTTTTTGGTTACATCGATGGCATATTAGATAGCCGAAATAGTTAAATTAAAGGAAAACAATCGCAATAAACACACACAACAGGTAATCCGAAACGAGAATGCACTTTCCGGTTATTATACTACTCTTTGGAATGCATGAATGCCACAGATTACTACGAATGCAAACTGCATGCACCACAACCACAGAGTAACAGTTTTATGCCGGCCCTTCACTTGACAACAGTTTGTCCTTGTCATGCTTAATAAGGAATGAAAAGGACAGACTGATGTCATGTTTCAAAATAGCAAATACGAATAGCCAAGTGAAGTGCCGGCATTAGGAAGAAAGAGTGTTTTGTTTGCAGCGCTGCCATAGATTATACACATAAAATGGTATTTATTGTCTCAGATTATTTTTTAACTTTTTAATTTAGCTTATTTAACTGGAAGTGTCCGTCACAATCTAAATACTGATAATTATCGCAAAAAATATACTAAGAATTATCATAAATGCCAAATTGGTGTTGGTTCTTAGGCCAATTTTAACATTGTCCTTTCACAGGTAAGTCTATTACATTACGCCAATACCGAAATAAACATATTCCTATATTTTTTATGTTGTAATCATAATAAAACGTTAGTATTTAAAAATCATAGTGTCCTGAGGCTATAAATTAACGTTATTCTTGTTTTATTAGTGAATAAAACAAATGTACGAAATGTAGTGACATTTCGTACAATATTCAACAGTTTATTAAATTGAAATAATATAAATTTTGGTTTTGTAGGGTAACCATTATCACTACACTTGAGATATTTTGAGAAAGTTAAAATACATAAGTATTATTGTAAATATTAATTACAAAGTTCAAAATATGAAAATAAGTTTATAATAAATACTGTAGTAGATCATGTTAATGAGATGTAGAAAACCTATTTAATAACAGCTATCTAGCAGCGGTCTTATACCTTTGTTTATGTTTCAGCTTTCCGAAAGATGTCATTAAAAGAAATTCTTGGTTGTCCATTATACTGTCACAAACGCTCTCGAAACGGAACCGCGAATGTGCTAGAGATCGAATTTGCCAGAGCACCGCGGGTCGCGATAGAAGTCGTAAGGCGGCTCATTCTAAAATGAGCCTTATGCAGTGCGACGTAAAGGAGAAAGTGCAATGATATCTGCACTTGTTTACAAGTTATGCGTGTTACTTGCGTAGGTATAAGTAGGTATTTCGTACTCGCGGGTGCTAGGTAATTCGCAATTTAACAGGTACTTTCTAGAATGCATCGATCGACGTATATAAGGGCGTTTGGCCCCGCGCAGAGACAGTTGAGTTTCAACAGCGATTTCGGAGCGAATCCAAAGGCGATCAAAGTGCATCAAAAGTGTTCAAGTGAGATGGTTTAGAGACTTGTATAGTGAAATACAGTGTTTAGTGAGTGTTTTGTAATTAACATTGTGTGTTAATTGTGTGAACTGTGTGGTGAATAAAGAACTGTCAATCGTGAACTGGCATATAATTTCGAACCCCATCCCGACTCGTAACAATACCATTAAAAGGTCAATTTTATTTATCAGCCAAAATATGTAGCTTAGAGTTTCTAGTCCGTTCTTAGTAAAAGGCATTTCTGGCGATTTTAAAAAGGGTTTGCATATTCTTGTTCATTTTTTTATAAACGTTTTTGACATTGCATAAGATGCATCTAATATGAATAAAATGATTATTGTACTTGTGAATTTTATTACTATTAAATAATGTGTTCCCAAGTTCCTATCAACTCCAACGCTTTGATTTATAAATTGTTTAAAGACGATACCAGTAAGTATGTATCCTAAACGTATATTCCAACATGGTCACCCTTAGAAAAAGATAAACATATGTGACGTCATTCAAGGCCACATTTTTTCACTTCAAGGTATTGTTTGCACTGCAATCTCCAGTGTTGTATAAAAGCTTCTTGGCTTTTTCGTTAAGGTTCTGTGAGCTAGTCAACACTACAATAAAGTTCTCACATCCACTTAATCGGAATAGCGTATATTATAAAGATTCCACTTATTCTTCAATTGCGTAGACGGTTGTAATACCAAATTACACCAATCTTATTTTAAAATATAAACTATGAACGAATTTAAAAAACAAAATAAGACGCCAACCGCACTCCATTAAATTGCACCAAAAACATTCTCATTGAGGGTTAGCTCGCGAGCGAGTTGTTAAAAAGAGCAAACTCATCTATTCTGGCTCAACGTATATCTAGCTCAAACTCGTTCAATTCATATCAGTATATCATTAAGTTCAGTGTTTCACGGAACGGAGCGACTCGATACGATAGATATTATGATAGAAAGACATCCACATACACAACTTGTTCTCTTATTGGTCTGTGATACACATACAATCACTGCCTATCGGAGACGCTATCTCAACATACGAAAGCATTCAAATTTTATCTTTTTTGCTATCGTAATAAGATTAAAAAAACAGTGAAAATTCATTAAGTATTTTCAGCAACTGAAAATAAACTGCAAATAAGGAATTGCTTTGATTACTACACTTTCAAAAAGATAAATTACAATAGGAAGTAGGGGTTAACACTGGGGTTACCTACTGTGGTATAACTCCAAAGTGTCAATTGGGCGAGATCACATTTAAAATGACTAAAGAGGCTTCTACCTGCATGAACTGCACTGAGCTAGAAGAGTTATATAGCTCTCCACTGGATAAAGAGCTATACACCTCTTATCTCTTCAAAGCAACGATATAAAATAATACCTATTTAATATTGTTGCTTCAAAGAGCTAAATTTCTCATGGCTACTCTCATTGTCATTGTCTATCTGTCATGGCAACTCTGCCACTGTTGACACACTGTTCGTATTTCTGTTTCAAAACAATTAAAAACTTTTCAAATATTTATGTGAAAGTGTTTCTGTAGCGTAGTCCATCTTTCAACGAAGCGACACAGTTATTATCATCTGAAAACTACTGAGGGAAAGGAAGATATTACATAAGATAAGTGGAAATTTTTCTACCCACAATATCTATTTGCTTAGTAAAGCGCTGGTAAATACCCTCACATGTTGGATGTCTCAATTGTCAATTTCAATTGACACTAAGAAATTTGATTTTGACAAACACATGACGCTTTCAAATTCAATTGACAACTTCAGATTTTTACTTTGACGTGTGAGGTGTTGCTGTATTAGAAACATTTTTCCCGAATTGTACCAATTTGCACTATTTCTGTGGCGTGGTTAGTGAACATCATTCTCGTTTTGGATTAAAAAAAAAATTACAAGCATGTCCCCCAAAAAAAATAATGAAAATCTCTCATGGGGATGTTGTTCGATAGGATTACAGGATGATAAATTTGTCAAGTGTAGAAAATGCTTGAAGGCCTTCCATTATGAATGTATTTCCCTGTCACCGGACAAGGCTGACTCTTCTACTCATGTTGAATGGCAATGTCTACTTTGTGCCCAGAAATCCGACAATAACGACAATACTCCGGTTCGATTCAATCCAAACATTTCTTCAAGGCCTGGTAAAAGACAAGCGTTAAATTCCTCACCGAATATTCCGAGTCAAAAGCCAATTACTAGGGATGAAATGCAGGAAATTCTCGACAACGTTATGGTTCAAATGCAGAAGACACTAAGTGCCACTTTTACTGACATTATAAATACAGAATTGGGGTCTTTAAAAACTGAGATTTGTGAGATCAACGATTCGATGGATTTTATAAATAAAAAATATGAAACTGTTAGAGAGGAACATAAAGAATCTGAAAAGAAAATAAAAGAGCAAAATAGCTCTTTGTA